GTGGTGGCAGTCGCCAGGTATGACTCCACTACGGGGAATTGTGGCCACACCGCGATGCAGCCGCCAGCACTCGGAGAAGCGAATTGACCTGCCATTCGTCTGGCGGAGGAGCCATCACCTCCGGGACCGCCAGGCCCCTGGCTTCTGCTGCTCGACGGATGATGTCCGGGAGAACGCTCACCAGAGCCCCGATGGATGGTTGAGGAGTGGAGGAAGAGCGGGAAAGGCCCAAATCCCCGGACCGTCCCTCGATCTGAACACTGGAGACAGGCCGTTCCACCTGGGAGGGGATGACCGCTTCTTGTTTGTCACCGTCGTCCTTGTTCTTCGAAGCGGGGTCATCCAACTCGGGCCCGAAATTGATGAGCCGATCCAGAGGAACTGAATCATTCAGCTCAAAACCGAGGGATACCACAAGCGACAGCCTTAGAGGGCGGAGCTTATACGAAATAGAACCTCAGCTTAGCCTGATAGCCTTTTTGCTAGTGCTGATGCTATATTGCCATATGTTTATTAGCTCGGCGCTAGTACGACAAACAAGCTAAACTGAGGTCCTCCATCCATATTTTCAGTTGCAGGCTGAGTCATTTTTGCGTTCCCCTCTCTGTCATGTGGATGGAGGACCTCAGTGACGAGAGGAGAATGTGTAGCGCTGAGCTAATACATATATATGGTGATAGTGTCGGGGCTAACGCTAAAGCTAACAGGCTAAGCTGAGGTTCTTCTTCCATAAAGCAGCTCTGTTGTCCTCCATCCATATTTTCAGTTACAGGCTGAGTCATTTCTACCTTCTCCTTTCTGTCAACGCTCTCTGGTTTCATTTAAAAGAGCCAATCATCAGATATTTTCCAAGATTAACCTTCAGGGTGGATATAGCTCGCTAGCAGCCTTGCAGTGATGACCTATCCATGTCATCATTTACCCAGAATGCTTTGCGTGTAAATAAAATGGCCCCGTCCGTGTAATATATTTTTAAACTTTTAGTTTAAAAATTATAATAACTGGACATCCGAAAGTATTTTTACAGTCTTTATTTTACAGTTAAAATATATGTTTATTAAATAAAGTCTAATGTTACAACTAATCAGGGTCCCTTTAAATGCTTCGGTCCGTGATGAATTTCCAAACTCCACCATTAAAGAGAAAAAAAACTGTCGTAAAATTAAAATAAAACCTTTGTTTTTCTGTTTAATTTCCTGATGGTGCAATGAATTCTGGGATACTGTCTGCTGCGTAGGACACTCAGATGCAGCCTACGTTTTCAGGGGTTTTGTCTACAAATTGTGACAGCCTACAGCACCGGGCGGTGACGTAAGCAACCGACAAATGTGTCTGACTTTGCCTGCAACCCTTGAATTTAGACATAACCCATTATTTCTATTTACATGTGAAACATGAGGAAAACTAAATGTCATGTAGGTTTTTCAAAAAGACTTATTATAACACCCATTTTTAATTTCTGCATCGATATCACTTTGCTAAGACTAGTTTCAAAAGTTTTACACAAATCCCAAAATATGCCAGTAAAATGTAATTAAAGAAGAAAAGTGAAGGCGTTTCTGTAAATATCGTACTTTCCATCCATCAGTGGAGCTTATCATCATTTTATCTCGTTCAGCTCTGTGCTCCTCACAACCTGAAGGACTTCTGAACTTTAAGTTTTTACCAGATTAATAACAAAGACTAAAACTGTTGTAACAGACTAGGAGAAATGTTTAGAACTTATGACCATCACACACTCACAGAAGGTCCAAAAACTAGAAGCTGGACCTTCAAATTTAAAGAGGGATTTTAGTTTTTATGCTAGATTTATTTAAAAAAAAGTTTTAAATGTCACATTCTTTCATAGATTAGCTTTGATAAATGTGTTGATTATTTTGTTTTGGGGATTTTAGTCTCTTCAAGTTTAATTTGGAACACTTCAATCCTTCATGAGTTTGTCTTTTTTTAGACTCCAAACGTTTTCCAGGGAGCTGAGGTCAAGGGAAACTCAGTCTTTCCTCTCATGGACTGATTGAGACGAAGTGGGAGCCTCAGATAAACAATAAACCAGAGGATGAAAAGGAAATATTTAAAGTTCTGAATAGAGAAGCAACAAACAAAGCAACACTCAGCAGGATTTCAGTTTAGGAAGTTGTTTTTCGAGTGGATGAAAGTCTTTATTACACGTTAAAATTAAAAGTCTGCTCCAAATGTGCAAAAATAAATAAACTGTTAATTAATACAAACATAATGTAAAACACTAAACATGACAGGGTTAAACTGGGAAATGGTGCAGTGAGTTTAAAGTGGTGACAGCTCTGAGGAAAAAACAGATTTGAATGTTTTTCTAATTTTTTTTACGTCAAGGTCTGAAGATTGTGAAAGAAAAGAAAAAAAGCTAAAAAGTGACCGTAGAAGCTGATAAACGTAGTTTCACTCTTCACATTTGATTTGACTAATGGAATCAAATCTGGGCTCGCTGAATTCTCCTCGAGCTGTTAGTCGGATGTGGCGCTTTGTCTCGGAGCCAGAAAAGATTTGGCGAGATGGGAGGCGTTATTTAACATGGCTGATGCCCAAGTACTTCAGCTACAGTAACAGACAGGCGGGCAGATAGACAGACAGCCCAAGGGCAATGCTGGGAACAAAAAAACTTGATTCATTTTGTGAAGAACCCACAAATCTATTTTTTGTGGCACATATCTTATATTCTCTCTAATTACCATCTTCTCTTCGTGGCGTAATTATTCCAAGTGTCACAACATTAACCGTCTTGAATTGGAGCGTAATGAGGCAATAGAAAAAGACAAGACATGGACCAAGAAGAAAGAGTTTTTACTGTTTGCACAAATGAGGTTTTCCCTCTGGTAATTATGAATAAAGTGAGACAAAAGGGATTCTATTAAAATTAGCTCCATAAAATTGAAAAACAACTAAATTTGATTGACAACCGAGATTGTGCCAAAATTAAATTTTCTTCGTAAAATCCTACTTTTTAAAAAAAGTATATTATTATTATTTTTTAAATGGAACATCAGCAGTGAGCCGTCAGCTGAGCTCAGGTGAACTGACTGTGGACGATTTTTTTTATTTTTTGGTTGTTCTGCAGATTATTTAAATGCTCACTTGATTGTCAGCATATGAAGGCGAACAGTTATGTGGGAGGCAAGTCTTACTCTCTGGAGGGCAAAAAGGCTAGTGTTAATCATAGTGGAGCGGAGCGGGAGGAATTAAAACTAATGAAGTCCTGGGAGACTTGTCTTATTCTCACCCAGCTCTCCTTCTCTTTGTCTCCTCTTGCTGTTGGTGTCAGTGTAAAGATTTATTTCTCTCCAAACCCTCAGTCAGGATCAGGAGGTGTGAACGATACACCTCCAGGCCAGCACCGGTCCATCTTCTGGGCCAGATCTGGTCTGCAGACCTTAAGTTTGACATGTGTAGCTTACTGCAATCTTCAATATATATANGGATGATAGAATGCAACGCTCACTTTTAGAAAAACAAACAATTTTTTTTCTACTTGTTTTACATATTTAATGTGTTAATTATATTTCTGATATCATACTCTCTATTACAGCCTTTAACTTGTTTCCTGTTCTGGTGACTGTTTCAAAATAAAACTCTTCATGGTTTTGAAGGTGGGCAGTCATTATTTCCCACATATTTTGAGTTTAAGTTTGGAAAATTGTTTCACTCCATCGCAGTCTTTGAACAAAACAAACAGATTTAAATTCTTCAGTGGAGAAATGAAACAGAAAGCATTTGTCCAGTCTGGATTAAAACAGAAACTGCCTTTCAGCCATGTTGGCTTTTTTCAGAGGAAACAACACATCACGTTAGAAATAATATATATATATATATATTTACAGTATTCCAATATCATTATATTATATAAAGGCTATGGTCATATTTTTACACTTTTTAATAATTCATGAAAATAATATCCTTATGCTTTTTTATTTTTTATTTTTTTAAACATTTTATGTTTGGGCATTGCTTCAACTCTACACTCAAATGATTCCACATTTTAACTCCACACGCAGAAACACAAAAACTCTTCCTCACAATGTGCACAATTACAACTTACAATTGACAAATACTTCTTAAATATTTTTAGGTAAATTTTCATATTTGGCTCTGTACAAAATTTGTGGTTTTTGGAACTTTACCAGATGTGGAAGTGTCAGTATTTGAGCTGTAAGAATAAATTGTTTGTATGATCCCTGTAACTTGCATTGTGAATAATACAAACTGTGAATGCAATGTTTTATAGCTGTGGCCCCAGATTTCCACACAATAACTTAAATAAGGTAAAACTGGTGAACAATGTAGGATATAGTGATGTCCGATCTAATACCTGCTGGCCTTATTCAGTGCTATGATGCTTCTTGAAAGATGTTTAATAGACACCTTCTTTCACTAATTTGTTTTATATCAACCCCTTTTATTTGAATCTTTACTTGTATATTATTTTTATGTATGTACTATTTCCAACATTATTTTAGTTTTATTCAAATTTATTATGTTTTTTTTTATCAAACCAGAGCTTTAATTTATTCAATTCAGTCATCATCTCATCTAGTAAATTCTGAAAACCGTCATCAGAACAAAAACACTTGTATCCTCAGCAAATAGTACCATTTTTTTAACATTTTGGAAACATTGCAAATGCCATTAATGTATAAAATAAACGTTTTAGGGTCTAAAACAGACCCCTGAGGAACACCACAAGTAATATTCAAACATAAAGAGGAACAATACTTTCACTTTACAAACTGTTGCCTTTTTCTTCAAAAACTCTTAAACCTATTTAAAATCACCCCACTAATTCCATAACCTTCCAAACTGGAAACATCACACCACGTAAATTTGCTACTCTAAAAACTGGAAAAGCTGCCTAAAACGTGTTACTGTAAATACTAGAAAATGAGCTCAAGTCAAAATTCAGTTGCAATTCAAGTCCTTTGAGTCTCACTGTCTCCTTCTGCCCCTATCCCCCACCCCACCCTACCCCACAGCTCACCTGTGCAACGGGCCATTCCACAAACACCTGCAGGACGTGTTTGTCCCTCTGGTGGTGCGGTACATCGATCTGATGGAGTCGTCCATCGCTCAGTCCATCCATCGTGGCTTTGAGCAGGAGACCTGGCAGCCCGTCAGGTAAGGATCGGCTCCAGTCAGGGCTGCTTCAGCTGATGACTGGGTCATCTGTTATCTGTGTGACATACATTTATTTCTAAACTCTGTTTAGTTTTGTGAATTTGATGAATTGACATTGAATTTGATGAGGTTTTTTTTAGATTAAATGTTTGTGTGGATATCTGGGATGTGCACATCTTTTGTTTAAACACAGCTTTATATTGTGTTTTTACTTGGAAAGTTGCCTTTTGTACTTTGGTTTATTATTATTAAGAAATCTATAACGTTCAAAATGAAAAACTAATTTCAAATATATAGAAATCATTATACACTCCTGTAGATTCTCACTCAGTGCATCTGAAAGAATAGACAGTTTATCTCTCTGGGATCTTCCTGGTAAAATAAAATAAATTGCCTTTTGTAAAATAAATAGGGACACCTTTGAAGTCTTCACTGATAATACATGTAGTTATGATCATGCTTCTGGATGGTCATGTTTATGTTTCTCTGATACAATTTGCTGTGTTAAGTTGTTTTATGCTGAACAGAAAGCCCATGTAACACTGAATGTGTGCAGGGGAGTGGGCGGGGCTTAAAGTTCTACATTACTAATGAGCGGACTCTGATTCCAAAAATCCACCATAGCAGCTTCTGTAAACCAGGTCCAACAAGAAGAGTAGACAAAGACTCAGTTTAGTAATTTACTACTTGTCTGTGAAACCTTTAAAATTATTATCATTATTATTATTATTATTATTANTTATTATTATTATTATGGTAAGACATTTGAAATCAGAGCTGATGATTCATGAGATATTTTACTAACAGACACAGTAGACTCCAGGACATTGTGCACACACTCACAAACAAAAACATTATCACTCCTTTCCCATTAGCTCTGGATATTCCTTGCAATGACAAACAGCATCTCAGACTAAATGCATGTTTAAAGTTATTTAATGAAAATAAATAATTCTGTCTGTAGCAGAGAATCAACAGAATATTTGTCAGGGTTTTATAAAACCTTTTATATTTCCTTTAGAATATGAATCTTATGATCTGTCAGATTGTTTTTCTGCAGTGACACAAACACTAATGTGTTCAATAATGGTTATGCTTTCACTCTTTTCATCTCTTTCATGATTTGTCTTTTATGCTTTTATCATTTTTCCTCTTCACACAACCTGGTCTTGGACTCGTACTCGGACTTGGACCTGGCAGGTCTCTAACTAACAATCTAGCCAGTGTCCCTCTTCCAAAAGTCCCCAACCTTTCCCTAACATTACCACAGATGCCCAGCTTCTCTGCACCAGCCTGGATGGGACCTCTGTGTGAGAACACGTATGTATGGTGCATCATGGGAAAGGACTCTCTGACTCTGGTGGTCCTCCAAGGCTTAGACATTTGCCCCTAAAAGATTAGAAAGGCCTGTAAACAAGCTAATTTATAAAAGTTAAAACCAGTTTGGGTTTTCCTTCTTTATTCCAGTGAGATGTGTTAGCTTTGTCAGACTTACCTATTTATGAGCTAATCACTAAACAGAACATTAAACTGCTCCAGATCTCATGTCCGAACATTAAAGGTACGGTATTTAAGTGATGTTCTGTCTAAAATACATCAATAAGGTAGTTAATGCCTTATAATGGGTGACATCAGTCACAGAACAAAGATTGTAAAGAACAGGACAAGAAGTCATCGTCCAGAGTTACAGTTAGCCAAACCAGGGCTAAACTTGTCCTCTTTTAAACTGATAGAAACATTATTGCACGCATCATTTAAAAAGGAGCCAACGTGATGCTCAAACTTAACTTTTCAAACTTCCTTAAAGCTCCAGGAGTAGAATACTGAGCCTGGCAGTGGTGCTGTGCTGAAATGAAGTTCTATTTTCCACAATCTGCCTTCAACATTTTGATGTTTTCAGTGAAACGTTCCCACACTGTTCTGAAAGGCTTTGTGTTGTGCTCTGTCAGTTTTTAGTCATCTTCTTTGTTAGCAGACTGTTCAGTCTTGGCACACAGTATAGATGATACTACTGCTAAATGTTCCAGTTCAGAACTGCAGTTAAAAACATTCACTGCTGGGGAGGGATGTCTGGGTTTTTGGACTAACCTGTTGCCTCCACAACCCAATAATGGACAGATGGACAGATGGACTCTATGGACTGACGATGGATGTATATGGTTTGACGATGGATGGACTGACTGGATGGATGCATTTTAATAGCCTGAAAAACAATATTAAATGGATCCTTGTTTACTTAGCCTTTAACCTATCCTGGATTAAGATTGCTCTGTCCTCCATTCTCTGACTGATGTCATGGCTGATAAAGTGCAAACTATTACTAACAGTTAGCAGGTCTGTCACAGTAACAAATTTTGCCGGGTGATAAATTGCCTCAGAAATTATCTTGATAAACGGTAATATTGTATGGGAAACTTTTGAAACTAATATCCACCCCCGCTTACAAACTTAGGGGAAGTTAAAGAAATTTACATACAGAAAAAAGTTACGAACTGACCTGTGAAAACACACATCTACTAAAGCTCTAACATTGTTACACTGCTCTATCCAATTTATTCTGTCTGAGTCTTCCTCTGGCTTTATAAAATAAAAGTGATCAACCGCCCACTGCTAGCAAATTTACGAAATTTATATAGTGTAAAAAAAATAAATAACTGACAAATATGACTACATTTTACATGAAGCATTATATTCATAACGTCAATAGAAACGGCAAACATAGTATTAGACATAAACATAGTATTAGCTATTTTCTTGTAAATGAAACTTCTGGGACAAAACAATTAATAACTTGTTAGCTTGTTTGTTAAATTATTAATCCAACTTTCAACCTATCTCTCATATCCACTAAAAAGTCTACTTTTCATTGCAATATACATATGGACAGATGTGTGTATACTATATATATATACATATATATATATATATATATATATATATATACATATACAGTATATATACTGTATATATTAGGGGTGTAAATCACCAGCTTTATCACGATACGATATTACATCAATATGTTTGGATGACGAATTGATATTTCTCAATATCACGAAGTCCGTCACGATATGATGGATTCAATTCAATTCACACGGCTGCGATCGATATAATGCAATATCATAAGGCCATCTAACACAATGACTGTGTTAGATGGGCATATGGTATTGATTCCCATCGAGCATATGATGATGATATAGATCAATATTTTCAATTTGCCTCGATATAACTGAATCATGAACCATTCAAATCGATATATAGATATAGGGAAGATGTAGAAATGTCTCCTTTGGTTGTAAAGCTTGTAAACCTAATGCTGAAAACTGTTTTAAATCTTTTCTCACTGGTATTAACGAATTTCAGCCAGTTCCTGTAAGAGAGGCTGCTTCGACTCAAACCTTCCTGAGTAAAAAAGACAATTTGACCAAAACTTCACCCAGCTGAGATCAGGTCTAGATGAGGACCTGTAGTCCTGCTTGTCCTCTGATTGATGTGAATGCTCAACATTTTCCTTGCAGCTCAAGTGTAATCTGTTTGTCAAAGTATCAGCAGCACTAAAATGAATTTATATGAGGAAACTGCCTGTCAAAACTTTGCAGATCCTTTTTGTTTTCCCGGCATGACACTTAATTATTTTTAAGTTTTTGTAGCGTGGATTTCTCACAAAATGTTTTTATCTTTTGGTCGTTGATGGTGAGTCGTTAGCTTTGGCTCTGTGTGAAGAAAGCAGCCATTATGTTTGTGTGCATGAGCTGTGCTTGGCAGAAGATGGAGAGTTCTCTCCAATTCTCTTTCAAATTGTTTTTGTGACTCTGTGGCTCTTTGTCAGTGGGTTGTTACTTGTGAATAATGTCTCGGAGACGTATCGGTGAAAGTATTGTTGCCATGTGTCAGTGGAGCTCGTGCATGCTGCAGTGTTCCCACATCTCAACGTAATGTCATTTCACTCTAACTTGTTTTCTCTTGCAGCTTGCATGGAATCAATCTGCCTGACATTTTGTAAGTTAAAGATATTCTTTTACTGATCATAAAACAGAAATATTTCAAGCTTCTATTTCTGCACAAGGGGATGTGTTTTCTGATACATGTGGCCGATGAGTCCACCAAGGCCTAACAAGGTATATTATTATTTCAATTCTGATAAACTTAAATATTTGTCAATTCGTCACTTTTTACTATATTGCAACAAATAGTTTCCTTCCTCCTTGGCTCGTATTGATATCTCTGGAAGCAGTTTCTATCTGGTACTTAGAGGGGTTTATACCTATGGTGAACCAGGTGCGTACCTGGTACCTAAAGAGTATGTATGTAATATTTGCAAGGCTGGTACAAAAACTGGTCTACATTATGAGGTGGACTTGTCAAGAGTTAAAGGCACACTGTGAAGGATTTGTTGTTTTCAGCGACATCCAGTGGTTGAATCATCCTCCCTGATCCTCCCCCCACCCCACCCCCACTTCCAAATGTAAAGGAGTTGCTACGGTGTCTCTCATGTGTCAAAAACTTTTGATAATTCCAACCGCGATGTCTACCAGCAGCTTCAGGGCTAGTGATGTTTCAAGTGGTAAGATTATGAGCTTTAATTAATAAAATTATCCCACACTGTGCCTTTAATAACAAGCAACAAGTAACTTTAAATTTAGATGCTCTGTTATCCGCGGCAAACACCCCCACCCCCCGCACTCACACACACACACACACATATGCATGCATCCCCCGTGACAAATACGGACTTTAAACGTGAAGGTTGATAACATCCACACTGGCGAGGTGGATGCGCCCTGCGCGTGTATCCAAAGCGTGACTTTTGCTGTCCTGCTGTTCTTGTCGGGGAGGGGTCTGYGRGTCAGGGAGGGGTCTGTGGGTCAGGGAGGGGTCTGTGGGTCAGGGAGGGGTCTGTGGGTCAGGGAGGGGTCTGTGGGTCAGGGTCGTCTGAGGAGGAAGCAGATGAATGGAGTTGCGCATGGGAACTTTTATTTAAGATTTAAGTTTTTTTTATTTCAAAGGTCCTCATGGCTCAGCAGCAGAAGCATAAATATTACTGTTAAGAAAGCTGATGATAAAGTTTAATATTATAAATCTCACAATAGGTCAAGTTTTGTTGGAGAAACTTGGAACCAGATTGATAAAGAATCTTTTTTTTGTTCTTGAAGTTAGTGTGAGATTTTTTTATACTTTCCTTTTGAAGTTGATCCAAAACAGAAATGTGCTTCTAGCTGAAGTCTTGCAAAATGACTTTTTTTTATTTCATGTTTTTTTTTCCTTCTGTCTGTACACGGAACAATCTGACAATAAAACACAACTTATAGAAACTTTAAGATAAACTTGACCTGCTTTTAAAATTGAACTGTAAAATTAGGCTTGTCACAAAAACAAATTTGGCTGGACAATAAATTGCCCCAGAAATTATTGCAATAAGTGATTAAATTATTTGGAGACCATTTTAAACAATAACAGTTTATTCTGTACGTGTCATCTTCTGGCCTCATAAAATAACTGCGGTCACCCTCACACTGCTTACAAAGTTTACGTAAGCTTACGAAATTCGCATAGCGTAAAAAAACAACAACTCAGCGAATCCAAGGTTCGACATGGTGTCCTGAGGTGTCGCCAGCTGAAGGACGCTCCTCTAGCTAAATGCTTGTTTACGAGGTGCTCATCTACAGAGGTTAGAGACCATGAGCCTGGAAAATACCAGACAGAGGGGTCACTCCTCTACACTAAGGAGTAGAAAACAGAAACACAAAGAAAAGAAACAAGCAGGCAAATGGAAATTATCAACCCTTATTTTAATTTATTGACCCCACTTTAATTTTATCACATAATATAATGATTGGTTATTTGTTGATTTAGTGTTTATCTTTGTAAAATATTCAGTAAATAACCATATTTTTATTGCTTACAGAGGCACCTACATGCAAATAATAATGCATTTAAATGTATTTTATTTGTTTTCAATGACTGATGTGGCACAGGGAGCCCTGCTGTATTTAGACCTACAGTTTATGGTGGTTTATGGGTTTACTCATTGTTTGCATTCATTCCAGTGGATTTTAGTGTGTTTGAATATGTTGACTGTCAGAAATTACTCAGTGGAAGGAGAGGGAAACAACTTATTGGTTTTAAAGAAAAAAACAGCCAATTATTACAAAATGTATGAAATGAACGTAAACCTAATAAAAAGTTAGTTTTTATTTAGTGAAAAGTTGTGCTGAAATGACTAATGAAATGTAAAATAATTAAGAAGAATGAAGAGTGCAAATATTTGTAGTGGTAGCTCAGATTGAGCTGCGGATCTGATGACATATGTCTGCTCAGTCTGCTTGTCGAGCAAAGAAAATTACTCTGTTTTGTCATTTAGAGAAAGAGAGTCTGCAGCAGAGTTCCCAGCATGGGTGGCCAATTGGGAGGGGGTGGATCTCAAGAGACTGGTTGAGAGTGCGTTTCTTAAAAAGGCTCTGCAGTCTGACTCCCCTAGCCTTTCCCACAGCACAGACCACACCGCTCCTCTGCCTCACTTCACTTGGGCCTCCTTGTAAAAAACGAGAGAAAAAAAAGCTGGCACTTCATTAAGAAGCACAGACGGGCGAGTGGGATTGTCCTGTTCCCCAGGGAGCAGGGCGGAGCGCACTCCGAGAAGAGCACCACTAATTAGACATGAGGGGGATAGCCACAGTGCGTTTAATTGCACCATGGACTCAACCCAAAGCATTTATTTTTGTGTGCCACTTCTTAAGGTAACAGTCTTTTAAAGGCGAAGTGAGAAAAGTGAGGAAATGAGTAGCTCTTGTTTTGAGCCCTCCTCCCTCCCCCCCTCCTCCATTCTCCTCCGTCCTCCTGTGGCTGCCGTTCGAGCTGTGGGCGCTGTACACTTGGATGTCGGTGCTGCGGAAGGTTGTTGTGTAACCTGCATGCAGGGAGACGTCCATCTGTCTCTGTCAACATGTTTCACTAAGACCACCCAAACTACCAGTGTTGTATAAAGTACCTCAAAGTGATACTTGAGTAAAAGTACAAGTATCTTATCATAAAAATACTTTGGGAAAAGTTAAAGTCTTCTCTAAAAATATTACTTGAGTAAAAGTCTTTAAGTATCTGATAT